CTGGAGTGAATTCATTACTGAGCTAAAAGGGGATCCGGGGACCATACTCTCGGGGTTTCTCCAGTCTCTGTCAGGCCAGTAAGTCTGGTCTTTTTTCGTGAGTTAGCATTTTCTTCTACATTTTTCTCCAGCTCTGTCCGGGACCCTCTATTGTGATCCCTGTCAGAGCAGTCAGTGGTGGTAGCTGGGCACCATCTAGTTATAGTGGACTCAGTCTGGTGGAGGCCATGGTAGTTGTGGTCCATTAGTCCTCTGGACTAGTCTTTCCCTCGTATGTTTGGTTTTCTTCATTCTTCCTTGCTCCAGACTGGGTGAGACCAGTGGAGTATCTTAGATGGCTGCTCACAGGCTTTTAAGGCCCCAGACACTACTCACCAAGGTAGAATGTAGAACATTTTCTTTATAAACTGTGTTATGCCAATTGAGCTAGATGTTCCCCAAGACCATGGTCCCCACAGCCCTCTGCCCAGCAATTCAGTCCCTCAGGGAGTTTGGATGTGTCTTTGGAGCTTCCATTACCTTTCCCAAGGCTGTAAATTTTTACAGAAGCAGACTGCAACATCTTTTCTCCCGTGGAGCCGCTGGCGGATTTGAACTGCAGACTTCTCAGCTGGCAGCCGAGCGCTTAACCGCTGCACCACCAGGGCTTCTTTAGATTAGTTTAGGAATGTGAAAATCTGTCATTCATGCCTTCTACCTTTTTGAACTTCCTCTTCACTCTTGGAAGAATTGTCTTTGTGCTTTGGGGGACTGAGAAGTGGGTAGTATCTGGGTGGGTGACTTTATTCCAAAGAGAGGAAAAGTGGCACCACACAGTACTTTGGGATCGATTAATTCCCAGACCTTTTGCCCTATGATATATGTATATCCCAGGTTCTAAAGTAGTCCTTTTTTATGTTTTTTCCTTTAGTCAATGCTTCAGAAAAAGTACAACGTGAACAAGAGGCCTTTAGGAATCTTCAGGGCTAAATTTTTCCCTGCAGATTGTTTAGCTCTTGCTGACTTCAAGGCCTCTCCCTTGGCTGCCGCTTATCTCTCTAAGGTGGAGAATGTAGGCTGAACAGTGCTTATGTCCCACTTGAGAGGACTGTCAGGCTCTATAACTTGCATTGATCCAAATAATCCATCAGATTCTTAGTGTTTCTTGGCTTCTGCACATTCCGCTTCTGTCAGACATTCCTTTTAGGGGCGGCAACATGGAATGTGGAAAGAGCATGGATTTTTTAGACTGTCTTGCTCAAATTTACATAATACAGCTTATTAACTCTACGACAATGGACAAGTTACTGAGTTTCCTTATCAGTAAAATGGGGATAATAAGGCTGGCCTAGATGGGATTGTTGTGAAGATTAAAGATTATGTATGTAAAGTATATCCCATGATTCCTTAATCCTTTATCCTTCCAATGCACTCAGTTGCAGAATCTCAAGCCTAAATCAGCTAATTCACATGCCTTTTTTTGCTCCTGCGTCCTGGCTGCTAAGTGTTGTCACTAGAAGTTCATGACTCATGATCTCCACTGAGACTTCAGTGCTGCCCAGCAGCTTTTCTGTGCGATTTTAGTTGGCTTTCTTCTTGCACTGTGCAGAGGTCATAAATTGGTAGCCCAGAAGGACTTGGTGCTATAGATACGTTTTGTTTGGCCTTGAGATTTTTTTATTCCCCCAAATGTTGGGATTCGTTGCAAGCATTTAGAAATTAGGAGATTTCAAATAAAAGTTAAAACGTCTAGTTTCTTTTCAAAATTGGATGATCTGAAAACTTGGAGTGCCGTGGCCGTCATTGGCTTCTTCCTGAGACAGGCTCATCCTCTCCAGTTTGCCACAGTGTCCACGTTCTCTATGGACTTATACTGGTCATTAGACTCAGGATGTTTCTCCTTTGATCCTGTGGCCATTTACTTTTTGACCTTGTGCTGTAGGTTCTATTTCTTTAAAATCCCTCTAATCTGTCCCTGGGTGGCACAGTTTGAGCTCTTCTACTAACTGAAAGGTTAGCGGTTCGAACCTACCCACCGGAGCCATGAAAGAAAGGTTTGGAGTTTGCTTTTGTAAAGATTAAAGCCAAGAAAACACTATGGAGCTCAGTTCTAATCTGTAACACATGGGGTCGCCATGAGTCAGAATTGACTTGCCGGCAACAAGTGTGGTTTTTTGGTTAATCTGTCCCCTTGTCTTCATTCCCAAGACCCTCGTCATTTCTCACCTGGAGTACTGCAATAGTGTCTTAACCCAGCTCCTCCTTATCTCTAATGTTGTTCTTGAGTTTGTCTTCACCGTACTATCAGACTCGTCTTTCTAAATTGCAAATTGAGTCATGTCAGTGTCTTTTATCAGATTCTTTATTGCCTCTCCACTTTGACTAAACGAAGTTTAAACTCCTTAGCATGCTGTTGAAGCTGTACATGATCTGGCCAATAACTCCAGCCGCTTAACCTGTTTGTGCCTCAGTTTCCTCCTCTGGACCTTAAGGGGAATAACAGTTCATACCTATAAGCTTGTAACTGAAATCAAACCCATTGTCATTGAGTCGATTCCAACGCATAGCAACCCTGTAGGACAGAGTAGAACTGTCCCATGAGGTTTCCGAAGCTCTAATCTCTGTGGAAGCAGACCACCACATCTTTCTCCTGTGGAGTGGCTTGCAGGTTCCAACTGCGAACCATTTGGTTAGCAGCCACGTGCTTAACCACTGTGCCACCAGGGCTCCTTTATAAGGCACGGTACTTGATACTTTGTAAGTGTTCAGTAATAATTAGCCATTAGTATTATTATGATGATGCCATGTTTGTTTGTTTCTGGACCCCAGGCCTTCATATTTGCTCTCTCTTCTACCTGGAATGTCTTTACCCCTATTCTTTTCCTTGATTGCAACTTATCCTTCAGGACTCAGCTTTTGTGTTACTTCCCCGAAGATCTGCTTCCTGGTCGTCCATAATCCAGTGGAGCACTTGTCACATTGCAGCGAAGCTGGCTCATTTTTTCTCTATCTCCTCACTTCCACTCTTCAGCTGTGTGAAGATAAGAACTATCTTATGCATCTTTGCATTTCCAGTTGCCAGCATAGATCTAGCTCTCTTAAATGCTTGATGAATTAATGAATGATGCTAGATGGCAGAAGATACTTGATTAATATTAACTGCTATTATTAGGGAATTTAGAAGATATGCAGCAAAATTTTCTGATTAACTCATCAGTTGAAATTTGTCTGGCAGCGGTAACTTTTTAGTTATTCTTTTTTTCAAAATGAATTTGTTTTATTATTATTTCTGACCATTAAGTGACTCTTGCCTTTGTGGTAAATAGAAAAAAAAAAAATTTTTAAGTATAAAGAAGAAATATCACCATTCAGAAATAACTACTGTTACAAAAGTGCTTTAAGTACTTATGTGTGTTCTACTCAGTTTCCTGTTTAAAATCTCACATGAAAGAATGCTGTTTTAACAAATAACATTAGAACATCTGGTTTAATATAATGAAACCACTATTTTTGTGCTCTACATTGCAAAGTAGCTTTTCAGGTGATGAAATGTGCCTTCTGCTAACATAACTATGTGCTCTAGAAAAGAAGCCTGATATCCAGTTTGTTAAATTACCATGTCATTGCCTTGCTTTATATGTGGCTTTTCACTTACCAGTATATGCTACTTCATCTGTGCTTACAGGCTGTCTCTAGGAATGGAGCAGTTTAAGTTTGGAGACCTAAAGCTGACCACCAAGAGGAAAGGAATTATCAGTTGTGGAGGCCAAGGATGCCTTTTTTATCCCCCGTGCTTCACTCTCACCCCTTGTTATAGCCAGTGACACAGTTAGCATGAAATTTGCAGGAATAGAGCTCCCAGATTTTCTTTTCTGTGCATGCCTTCTGCTGTAGTCATCTAGTGCTGCTCTAACAGAAATACCACAGATGGATGGCTTTAACAAAGAGAAGTTTACTCTCTCACAGTCCAGTAGGCTATAAGTCCAAATTCAGGGCTTCAGCTCCAGGGGAATGCTTTCTTCATTGGCTTTGGAGGAAGGTCTGTGTCATCAATCTTTCCTGGTGCAGGAGCTTCTCTGTGCAGGAACCTCAGGTCCAAAGGACGTGCTCTGCTCCCGGCACTGCTTTCTTGGTGGTATGAGGTTCCCATGTGTCTCTGCTCCCTTCTTTCTTTTATATCTTAAAAGAGATTGGCTTAAGATACTGTCCAATCTTATAGACATCATCATTTTAACCTCATCATAGTGATAGCGTTTACAGCACATAAGGAGATCACATATAACCTCATCATAGTGATAGAGTTTACAACACATAAGGAAATCACATCAGATTACACAATCATACAATGTTGGGAATCATGACCTAGCCAAGTTGACAGATATTTTGGGGGGACACAATTCAATCCATGACACCTTCTTTTCTATCTGTCCTTATATTAGCTGTATACTTCCACCACATTGCCCCCACCCCATCAAGATTTGTGTTGCAAAAGAAATATGTTCTTATGTATCTTTCTCCCTCTTACATTCTTTCGGTAACTGTCCATTTTTACTTTTGTGACATCTTTATAGGGAGTGATACTAGTCTATATTCTAGTTTTTGCCAATAAACCTGATTTATATAATTTGGAACACTGGCTGTATCAACTTTTTGATACGGTAAGGCATCCTTTAGAGGTGACAGATTTTAGCCTGTAGTGGGAGAAAGATGTGGCAGTCTACTTCCGTAAAGATTTACGGCTTTGGAAACCCTGTGGGGGCAGTTCTGCTCTGTCCTGCAGGATCAGTATGAGTTGAAATTTACTAAACGACAGTGGGTAGTATGGTTAGGCTGTTGAATGAATGAAATTTGCTGTATTTGGACTTCATCCTCTGATCTGGTTCCTGTCTTTGGGGATGGTTGGAACATAGTCATCATGATGAGAAATATCAACTGTCTTTCATAGGCAGTTCCAGATCTGCAGTTTAAGTTCCTTCCTGAGTGTCATTTGCTGCCTGTTCTTACTTAATTTTTTATTTTAGATCACAGATTCTGCTGGCCATATTCTTTACTCCAAGGAGGATGCAACCAAGGGGAAATTTGCCTTTACCACTGAAGATTATGACATGTTTGAAGTGTGTTTTGAGAGCAAGGGTAAGTAGTCAGAGTGTTTTCCCTGGACTAAGCTTTTGTCACAACTCTGTAGTGCCCTCTGAAGTTAAACAGAGTGTGAGCTTCCTTTCTCTTGGGCTGGCAGGAAGGGGAAATGAAAACTGTACATTTGCTGAAGCTCATGCACATATATGTGAAAGTTGGCTAATCAGTAGAGTTCTTTGTGTCGTGTGCAGGAGTGCGCATTTCTTGAACACTGTGATCTGCTAGCTTTGAATGTAGAATTGACTTTGGCATAGATGCTAGGAAATAGTGTATTTCTATGCTAGTAACATGTTTTCTCAGGGATTGGAAGTAGGGTCTGTCTGCTAAACAGTATAGGGCAAAGTCAGAAGTAGCTTTGGTCTCCAGAGCACTTGCTATATCCTAGTCCTAATGTCTTGGTATGGGTTCTTTTATGCATCTGAAGGCCAAGATTCCACAGTAACTCTCATGCTGATTACTTGGTGGTTTCTGTTGTCAGTGGTGGGTAAAAAAGCAGATTACTTTTTACTTCCTGTTCTTTAGTTCAAGACCCTGAAAATTGTATGCAATTTATACGTGTCATATTTGTTGGCGCCCTATTGGACTGCAATGCATGTCATAAAAATAGCTCAAACTGGTTTAAAGAAAAAGGATAGAAAGAGCATTTTGACTGTCTGAACTGGGAAGTTCACAATGTGGTGCTGACGTTAGGCATGGCTGGATCTTGGGATTTTAACAGTGTCATTGGACTCCAGCTTTTAGCTCTTTCTCTCCTTGCCTCCATTTAACTTTATTCTCGGGCTCTGTCCATAGGGCAAAAGAGACTTCTGGCAATTTTAAGTTTTTAGTGTATTCAGAATATATGATCACTGAGGAAGAGCAATCACCTTTGCCAATAGTGCTGACAAATTCCCAGGAAGTTTCCAGACAGCAGATCAACTAGCTACTTTTAACAGTTAACAAAGAATCGACTCCCTTGATCTAAAGCAGGTCAGTTTAGCTTAAAGAAGGTGTTCACCTAAAGTAAATGGGATAGTAGATTAAGAATAGAAAATTAAAGGGCTTTAGCAGTGATTTCATGACTGACATCCTTCTCCCTGCCCCTGCTTCTGCCAGTTCCAAGATCTCTCAACAGCATTCTAGACGTTTCCATATGGTTGTCCCCCTTTTACCTCAAAACCTAAATATCTGAGACTGAAATCATGAGCTTCTCTTTCACACTAGTTCCCTTCTCTCATCAGTATTACTACCATCCTTCCAGTTACTCAGGCTCAACGTATTTGAAATTATTTTTGTCTTCTCTAGTCTATCATCAAGTTATGCTGATTCATCTTTCAAAATATCTTCCTTATCCATCACCACCCAAATCTGAATTCTGATCTTTTAAATCCTGGATTGTGTCGTTAGTTTTCTAAATGATATCCCTGCTTTTAATATATCCAAATAGTTCTACCAGATTTATCTCCTAAAACACATCTTTTGTCATGTCAGTCCCCTTTTCAAAAACTTTCCCTTCTCTGTAGTGGCAATAATGTTTCTGTTATATAGAATGAAGCCCAGAGTTTTAGAGCTGGAAGGGATTTTAGGCATCATGACACTTACTAGTTTTTATAATCTCATTCCAGCCTTATCTTTCACTACTCACTAGGCCCTAACCAGTCTGGTTTTCTCTGTCTTCTAAACATGTCATGTTTATTCATTTACTGGAATGACCTCTTCCTACACAGCCTTGAGTTTACCTTGAGTTATTTTAGAGTACCATTCTAGCCCACTTAATTTCTTATTGATTGATGCCTTCAGCAAATATTTATTAAGTGTTTTTAATATGCCAGGCACTGTTCTGGGTGTTGGGGATATGGTAGTGAATAAGACAGAAGTCTTTGCTCTCATGAAGCTTACGTTTTCTTTGGGGGAAACAGACAACAAACATAAATATAAATCAGGTGGTGATTAGGGCTTTGGCAAAAAATAAAGCAAAGGTATTGAGGTGCTGACATGTCTCAGAAACAGCAAGGGGATTAATGTGGCTTCTTCTAAATATTGTATCATTTACTGATTATTTAAGCATTTTAGATCACTAGATCGATTGATCGGCTGATCGATAGATAATGTCTTGCGTTGTTTTAATGTCTCATGTATATATATTTTACATTCCCAATTATATTTTAAACTCTTTGAAGGCAGAGACTGACTTTTGTTTCTCTGAATTTCTTATATGCCCTTACTCTGCACTTAGGTGCCTTGGAACTAATTTAAACATAAAACACACATTCTGTATCAGCACTCCATTTCTGGTATCATTTGTGTTCTCTGTTTAGTCTAACATGGGGACCTGATACCTTGTAGCCTGTGAAGCACCTTTTAAAACATTATCTATTTGCCAGGCAAATGCTAAGAGAGAAAGTACTGAAAAGTCATTTTAAAAGGAGACCCTTTAGGGCCATGATGTCAGCTAAGGGGATAGACTGTATGGTCTGGACTCTGACCAGCCAGAGGTCTGTGGTTTTGTGGTTTCACTTGGGCTTGAATAATGCTAGTGCTGTGCTGTGACAAATAGGCTGGTAGTGGGGGGAATCTGTTAGAAAGGGGATATCCTGATCCTTTGGACCAGGTGGGGCTGTGAGCTGCTTGGCTCTTACAACTTTTTAAATGAGGAAGGAGAAGTGAGAACTTGCATTGCATCTCTTATGGGCAATGCCGTGATGAGGATTACACATCATACTGGGGAGAAGTGAGCTCTCTGGGTGCTACTTTTTTTTTTTTTTTTTGTATTGTTGTGTTTTAGGTGAAAGTTTACAATTCAAGTTGGTCTCTCATACAAAAATTTATACATACATTGTTATGTGACCCTAGTTGCTCTCCCTATACTGTGACAGCACACTCCTCCTTTCCACCCCAGATTTCCCGTGTCCATCCAACCAGCTCCTGATCCTCGCTGCCTTTTCATCCTACCTCCAGACAGGAGCTGCCCGTTTAGTCTCATGTATCTACTTGAGCTGAGAAGCACACTCTTCATGAGTATCATTTTATGTCCCATAGTCCAGTCCAGTCTTTGTCTGAAGAGTTGGCCTCGGTAATGGTTTCAGTTTTGGGCTAACAGAGAGTCTGGGGGCCATGTCTTCAGGGTCCCTCCAGTCTCAGTCAGACCATTAAGTCTGGTCTTCTTACTAGAATTTGAGTTCTGCACCCCACTTTTCTCCTGCTCTGTCAGGGACTCTGTTGTGTTCCTTGTCAGGGCGGTCATTGGTGGTAGCCAGGCACCATCTAGTTCTTCTGGTCTCAGGCTGATGGAATCTCTGGTTTATGTGGCCCTTTCTGTCTCTTGGGCTAATACTTTCCTTGTAACTTTAGTGTTCTTCATTCTCTTTTACTCCAGGTGGTTGGGACCAATTGATGCATCTTAGATGGCCACTCACTAGCTTTTAAGACCTCAGACACCACTCACCAAAGTGGGATGCAGAACATTTTCTTAAAAAACTTTGTTTTTCCAGTTGACCTAGATGTCCCCTGAAACCGTGGTCCCCAGACCCCTGTCCCCGCTACTGTGTCCCTCGAAGTGTTCGGTTGTATTCAGGGAACTTCTTAGATTGGTTAAGTCTAGTTGTGCTGACTTCCCCTGTGTTCTGTGTTGTCCTTCCCTTCACCTAAGATGATTCTTGTCAACTATCTAGTTAGTGAGTACTCCTCTCCCTCCCTCCCCACCCTTGTAACCATCAAACAATGTTTTCTTCTGTATTTAAACCCTTTCTTGAATTCTTATAATAGTAGTCTTATGCAATATTTGTCCTTTTGCGACTGACTAAATTCACTCAGCATAATGCCTTCCAGATTCCTCCATAAAATGTTATAAGGTGGTGTTTTAGTGAGCTGTTGGTTTAGTAATGCTCAGAAGGCATTTGTGACTTGTCTTAGTTTGTTTTTAATCCTACCTATGAAGTCTTGTCTCTGTTGCTTTTAAATTGATCTTTCTAGTCTATCCAAAAGACTGACTTTGTTGTCTTTTAAACATGCCATTGTTGTTGTTAGTTGCTGTTGAGTTGATTCCGACTCATGGTGACCCCATGTGTGCAGAGTAGAACTGTGCTGCATAGAGTTTTCAGTGGCCATGACCTTTCAGAAGCAGGTCACCAGGCCTGTCCTCCGAGGCACCTCTGGGTGGGTTCGAACCACCTACCTTTCAGCTAATAGTTGATCACTTAACTATTGCACCACCCAGGGACTCCTAAACGTGCCATACTCATTTCAATATCTGAGCCTTTGCCCAGCCTGCGCCTTCTGTCTAGAATACTTTGCCCGAGTCCTGTCTTCAGGTCCCCTTCTTTAGTGAAGTCTGTCCACGATTAATCTCTTCTCTCCTCTGACCTTTTTGCTCTATAGCTAATATTGTCTGAATCAGTTATTTTGGCTTATATTTTTATAGTGCTTTGTATTTTTAATGTAATTGTTATGTGTATATATGTCTTAGATCCCATTGTATTATTTGAAGACAGAGTCTGTACTCCTTCAAAATCTCCAGCACAGTTCCTGCACCCAGTGAGTTCTCAATGAATAGTTGCTGAGCTGATTTCAGTGCATTTCAGAAAACCTCCCAAGTCTCTCAGGCAGCAGAGGGTCTGAGGAACCCCAGTGCTTAAGTGGCACTACATTTCTCAAAACATCCCCACACTTTTATAGTCAGGTGAATTCTGTGGGATGGGGGTTCTTTGAGTCTTTCTCATTCTCCTACTTGATGACTCGTTAGAATTTTTTTTATCAAATTGAATCATATTAATTTTTCTAGTATGAGCATTGTTTTGTTGGCCCTATTATTCCTAATAGACATTGGTCTTTCTAAGAAGCATCCCAGAGAATTATACTCTTCTCACAGTACTTTTTCTTGGGCTGTTCTAATTCTCTTAAGGGTTTTGTGGGAATAGTCCTATATCATTTTATTCACCTATTGAAATAGGCCTTATATTGAACAAAATGTTTGAATTAAAATAGAATATTAGATAAAACCTATGTTCTTTTCAATGCTTATGTCTATATTAAGTCAATCCAAGCTTAGTATATACCCAGTAATCCTAATTGAGCATCAATTCCCAACAAAATTTGACAGGGCAACCTTTCCAGATGTGGAAACATGCATTTTCAGCTAATTTGGTACCCAATACCTATTGATCTGTAGGCCACTCAGTTTCAGAGTATTTGACTTTTGAGTTTTCTTTCCTAATCCAATAAGCCGGTATGTTTTCTCTTCTCCCATTCTATTCCTCTCCTGCCAGCTGCAGTATCTTGTATCCTGCCTGCTCAGATGTTTGCCAGTAGCGTGTACTTGTTGCTTTCCGGCACCCCACACAGACAGAGGCTTTGTCTGGAATGCTTGTGATTTTAGCCAGAGCCAGGAATTTTCTGCAGCAGAGTAGGGGAAGGGTTGTGCCTGTTTCCCTCCAGTGAGAGAGTAGGGCTAGGGAGAGGGAGGGCGGGTGGGTGATTTCCCAGAATTTTAAATATTCCGCACAATGAGTCCTTTGATTTCTTTTTCAGGAACAGGGCGGATACCTGACCAACTCGTGATACTAGACATGAAGCATGGAGTGGAGGCAAAAAATTACGAGGAGGTATGTCCTGCTGTCACAGCCAGAGGAGGAGTAGTGCGCTTTGTGGAGATTTCTGTGACCTAGTCAGGCCAGTAGGCTGTGCTTTGCCCAGAAGGCTGTAGTTTTCTCAGCAGTCATGTGATAACCAGCTATGATCTTATTGATACAAACAGTTGTATTAACAGCCTGAACAATAATTTTGGCTGTGCTGTCAGCCAAACGACTGAACCAGCTGTCCTATAGAAATTTTGATGTGATAAAACATTCAAGCATAGTCCATTAGCATTCTTGAGGCAGAAACCAGATATATACACTTACAGTTTTTAAAACCTGGACTTCATTTATCTGTTAATATCCCAGGTTTGGAAAAGTGATTTTGTTTTTAATTCCTAAGCCTTTTTTTTCAGGACCGACAGCTACATATATTTCTGAAGGGCATGGACTCAGTGCTGTTTAGGTTTGAACAACCGTGCTCTCTTTGAGAAACACAATAGTCAGAAGTAGCTTTTAGTTAAAATAATTTTAAACTCTTAAGGAAGATGGCAGAATGGAGGAAAAGGCTGTAAGAGACTAGGGATGGCGATAATGGATAAAAATCTGATGCTGACAGGAAGTATTATAGAGTAATAAAAACTGACTTTGATTTATTTGGATGATGGGGAGCTGGAGGTGTGCATAGAATAAGGAGAATGGGATGGAGCCTTTTTCATCTTAGTTATGAGAGACTTTGGGAACAATACAGAATAGTTCATCAAATGAAGAGCAACTTTGAAAAACCACAAGAACTATTTAAGACAGGAGGATTGATCTTTACAGAAAGATAAGAGTATTTTTACCCAGCAAAACAGTACTTTAGGGCATGAGGAAGAGTTAGGGTACAAGAAATGTACATGGCTTTTGAAGAATGAACTAAATAAGGAAGAAAGATTGTCTTAGGTGATTTAAGAGAATTTTCTAGGAATGTTGGGGCAGGAGCAGAAGTTGCTGTATCTTTGGTCAGGACTTTGGATGGGAAATAGCCTACAATGAAAGAAGATTGGAAGTGACTGGCAAATTCTACAACATAAATAGTAGTACAACAATTGCAGTTCTTGAGGTCTCCCCCCACTCCCCGCCACCACCACACTTGTTGAAGTTTTCAATTGAGTGAAACTAGATTGAGTTATTTGTAGGCAGTAAATAGGAGCAAGTAATACTTTAATGAATGGAAGACTATTCCTGGTAGAGACTTTGAATTGCTCGTTTCTGTCTCCAGGCTAGTTTAGTTAAAAGAAGTAAAGTGAGAGTCTCTTTATTTGATGAATTTCAAAGGAAGTTAAAAAATATTTTTAAACTTTCATGATTCAGAAGAATCCCTAATTATATTTAAATAAGATAACGTATGTTAAAGTGCTGTTGTAAGGTATAAAACACTAGGAAAAATGTAGTTATTATGAGGTGGGAGAATAGGTAAATTGATTTTCAGTTTGTGCTTACTGCTGCTGTTCCCACCATTCTCTAAGCCAGCATTCTTTGAATTCCTGCTATGTGGAATTTCATTTGTTGTAACTTTTCTTCCTCCAACGTGATGGCTATCATGTGGTATTTCATCAAATTTAACAGGCTACCTGATGCCCTGTTAGACATTAGACATAGCTTGTTTCCCTCTAAAAGAGATGGCATGGTTGTGGGTTTACATATAGGATGATGTAAACATCACTGTTGTACAGCATTTTAGAACCCCTGTACCTCCTGGAATTGCCATTATCCTTGGGCTATGTTGACATTGGGAGAGGGGCTTTATCTTTCTTGAGCTTCTACTTAACCCAAGAAGGGAATCCCTAGCAGACAGGAAACCACATCGCTTCCTTTGTCTGCTTCCTGCTTCCAACGTTTGACACGTCCTTAGCCTGTCTTTACGCATGTGGTTGCAACACAGCTCCCCACTACTTTCTTTAACCCTACCCCTCGCCCCCCATACAGCAGACAAGATTGAGGCATAAGAGGAGTGGTGATTACACAGGGCGGAGACCAAACCTTGTCTCAGTCTGTGGCTCGGCACCCTTGAATCTTCCTTGGAAGTAGTGTTAGTTGTCTCTGGGCTAATGTCTGTGACAAAAATATGGATAATAGTAGCACTTACTTCCTAGTTAATTACCAGAGGGCACTGAGCACATGTAGAGTTTTTGAGGCATTTAGTTTTAGGCTCTTGAGGTAATGAAGAGCCTTTTTCTCTAGAAGATTTGGGCCCTTTGGCATCAATATTATGATGTAGGAAAGTGGTACATTTCTTTAATTTTCTTCATATTCACCATATCTCTCCTTCACATTGATGGCCTTCATAATTCTGAAATCCCAATGTGGTTTCGTAAAATTCACTAGTAATCACTGTTTTAATGGCTGGGCAGAGTACCACACTACCTGCCTGATTGTTAGGGAGGATCTAATTAGTCAATGCACTTGAAATTGCTGTGTAAACACAATACAGATGTGAGGTGATATTATTCAGAAGGCAGAATGCTTGGCATATTGTAAAGAAGCATAAGCTGTTGTAGCTTGAATTCCCTAAAAAGAAAGAATGCTGTGTTTTCAGAAATAAAGTACCTTTGATTCCCAGTGTTGTTTTTTAAGGGCCTCTGACCACTGTCTTGCTTTTGCCCTTCAGAGGTGGGAGCATCTTTGTAGATTCAGTATGAGAATTGAGCTCTTTGTAGTTCATGGTCTGTGAACTAGAGCAGTTTTTTTCAGGGACTTAACCGTCTGAGCATGCACTTGCGGGAATAACAGCAATTACTATCTCACAAGGAAAGTTATCTCTGACATGTCCTTCAGCTCTTGGTCTGCATATGTACCTTCTTGCCGTGAATGGAAGCATTTTCAACACTGGTAAAAGCTCATTTTGCCTAGGGGTTCTGTGAGCCTGTCATTTGCTGTCTGCCATACCCAAACCAACCCCAATGCTGTGGAGTCGATTCTGACTCATAGTGACCCTATAGGACAGGGTAGAACCGTTCCATAGGGTTTCCAAAGCTGTAATCTTTGCAGAAACGGACTGCCACGTCTTTCTCATGTGGAGTGGCTAATGAGTTCCAACTGCTGGCCTTTCGGGTGGCAGCCAAGCGCTTAACCACTGTGCCACCAGGGCTCCTTTTGCTCTCTACAGATACAGGAAAAACACAATTGCCCTGGTTGGAGCAACAGTTTAAGACCTGCCAAAAGTTCTGTTTCTCTGAATGCCTTCAGGAAGGAGGAACTCTGGTGTCATATACTAGATCCACAGTCTCTTGACATAAGGTAAATGAAGTAACATGGATAAGGCATCTGACACCACTGGTCAGTTCAGTAGTTTTTTAGCTCCCTTCTCCTACCCTTTCTGGAAACTATCAAATGGTCATGACAGAGTAAATAGGATCTTGCTAAATTTCATCTAAGCCCTACCATTGGTGGCATTTATCTGGACTTATTTTGACCCACTGTTGACCTTTTGAGCTTCTGTGAATAGGTCTGTGATTTGCTTACCCCACCAATCTGTGATTCGCTTACCCCCACCCCCAGGCATGAAGAGATTTGTCCTGGGATGTAAGTCTATATTCTTTGTCTTAATTGTGTTAGACTAGATAGTCTTCACATTTATTGCTGTGCTTCTGGGATTCATGGGAAGTGTGGTGGGAAGTGGAGGTAACAAAGTAATTTGACAACATTTGGCTTGCCACAAGAAGCTATTCTCTTGGGTCTCTATACTCCACCAACTATAGGTTTCTTGGACTGGATTCACACGTGTGTTTTAAGTTTTTCAGAAAGTTAACATCTTTCCTTGGTAGAGGTACATGTAACTCCATGAACTCTGTAGATTTCATATCATTAGAGGAGTAGAAAATTTGAATATGTTTAAGAAGAGTTTAATTGTACTGATATCTTGAAGATGTTATGAATATACAGGAAGAGGTTTCATAACTTTTAGTTTTTCCAAACAGTGCCTACTACTGTAGATGAGAGTGGAGGATACTGTGGTAGAGAGGGCAGTGGGCCTGGTGAAAATAAATGCTGAGTGAAAATAGATGCAGAATGCTCCTAATAAACAGGAAGTGCTTGCTTCTACTGTGAAAAACTTGCTTCTTTTGAAGAAGGTATAGAATGGACCTAACAAGTGTATCATAAGTGTTTACTCTGTATCAGGTATGTGGGACTATGCAAAATGTAAATTGTTTAAATTTCCTTAAATGCCAAGATCAAACTAGCTGTTCGGAAAAGGATAAAAATCAACATAGTTTGTGAATATGACAAGATATGTTTGATTTTAAATTGTGTGGCACAGTCTCTAGGTGCTGTAGGGCTTTAGGGAAAAGGGAGATCAGCATGCATAGCATGGTTAAGACTTGAAAGACAGGTCAGATATGGGTACACCAAGAATGTATGCTTCTAGAAGTCAGGTTTGCTTGCGTTTTACAGCAGAGCGTTGCAGTTTTGATGCTGAGTAAATGCTTTGATGACTCTTGGTAGGGAGTCAAGACACCATGGTGCTGTTCATCGAGGTATGTTACTTTATGGAATCCTCAGTTTCCTTATTTGTAAAATGAACTTATTATAAAATGACGTCTCTTGTGGCTTTGATTGTTTAATGGCCAGATGCAGCCTACCAGGGGAGTGCCACCACCTAGTGGAGATCTGGGAGTACATGTTGTCTTGTAAGCTTCCCTTCATCAGTTTGGCAAGACAAAACGTCATCCTTCAAGCCATGGAAGAGAGAAGTAAATTAGCAGATTACTGCCCTTCCTTTATTAAAAAAATGTGTAATTTGGCATTTTTACAGATACTATGAGCATCAACTCAGATGTTTAAAAGAGCAGGGCAACAGTCAGTGGGGATTTTGATATTGGGGTTTTCTTTTTAGCTTTTTATACTATGATAAGAAGTCTTAATAATAGTCATTGAATGCTTAGTCCTAGGCAAGCAAAGAGGGTCTTCTTGAAAATGCTTATCTTATTAAATTAAAAAAAAACATAGAACAATGTACACTATGATCTCATTTATAGATCTATTTTTAAGTTATATTTTTCTGTGTGCATTTATGTATATACAAAGGTGTAAATAGTGTGTGTCTTATAACAGGGTCTGGAAAGATATGCCCCAAGTTCATAACCAAGGTTACCTCTGAGAAAGAATGTGAGGATAGGGCTAAAGAATTGAGGAGCTGTGAAGGTGGACTTTTTGTTTTTATTTTCTTTGTTTCTGAATAGTTTGAACTTTTTACCAGGAGAAGATATTGTTCATGTGTTGCTTGTACAACTAAAAAGGAATAAAACATCAGAAAGGAAAGGAACTGGGAACAGGTTTTTGGGTCTATAATCTACAAAGGCCATTTTCAGTACCAAATTTACCATCTCTCTTCAGGTTTTAGGCTTTTGGGCTATTGTCATTTAACCAAAAAAAGCACATTAAAAGTAGTCTTCAAAGTAATTTTTAAAAATATCATTTTCAGCTGGCAGAGCCACACCATAGTTTCACTTCTAGTTCCTTTTGTAAGTTTCTATTTAGAGAGCCTTAATCATTTATCTCTAAGAAGTATCCTACCATTGCCTTTATACGATCTCATTCAGGAAGCTTTGGAGGGGAAAGTATAGAGCAGAAAGAAAGATGTTAAACAGACTAAGGTTCAACTTCAACACATCATTACATTGAGGCAGTTATGTATCTCCTGTATTGGTATCTTTTTCCTGAGGAATTTCTGTGTTCTTCAGTTCTGTATGAAATCAGTCAACAGATAGAATTCTAGGTTAATAGCAAAACCTGGCATTTAGGCACTCAGCTAGCAGAGTTAGCTCAATGCATTAACTGTAGGTTAAATCTTACAACCAGTTAACTTTATTCTGTCCTACAGTTGTCAGTCGCACCATTAACTCTAGCAAACATTTTGCGAATGTAAGAAAACATACATCCAATGAAAGAAAACTTCAGTGGATCATTGCAAATCCATCACCACATTTTTATGTACCTTAAATATAAACTCAATTTTTTATATCCCCATTTTAACAATAGTTTCTAGTTTCCTTTAAATTGCCTTTTTTTTTTTTCTTCACATGGTCAATGAAGAATTTTAGATAAGCAAACACAAAAGTCACCCTTAAACTCCTCTTCACCTCATGTTAACTGCTGTTGACATTTAATAAAGAAAGAACAAAGAGGGTGAATTAGAGAAAAGAGAGGAAAAAGTAGGGCATTTTATAGACAGTGTAGGGTAAATAGGAAGTAGAGAAGCAGATGTTGAAAGATTTGTTGAGTTCCCTATGTGTAGAAATTTTAAAAACAGCTGATGTGTAAGAGTTTTAAGAGCTGGAAAGCTCTGATGGTAGATCACCGTTTTAAAGCAAATCATAACCTAAGAGTGATAAGAAACAATAAATAGAATATGAAATCTGTTCCCTTGTGATGTATACTTCTAGTTATTAGAGACACTTGGAGGTTTCACAGTGGTCTGGGTTGAGAAAAGGAAGACACAGTTCTCACACTCTTCATTCCTCAGCATACAGGGAGGTTGTTGGAGATTTCTTTTGATAACTGGGCTGTGTAATTTTTTTAAAAAAGCAATTTTTTTTTTTTTATATTTTATTGTACTTCAGGTGAAGGCTTATAGAATAAATAGTTTCTCATGAAACAGTAGTACACATGTTGTTTTATGACATTGGTTAACAACCCCACAACATATTAACCCTCTAACTTCTCAACCTATTTTTTTTTGGTGAAAATACACATAGCCAAAGATACACCGTTTCAAAAATTTCTACCTGCACAGTTCAGTGACATTGACTACGCTCTTCCAATTGTGCTGTTATTCTCACTTAAGATGAAGGCTTACAGAACAAAATAGTTTCTCATTTAACAGTTACTACAAATGTTGCCCTATGACAATGGTTAACAATCTCACAACACATCAACAATATCCTTACTCAACCTTGGGTTCCTATCACCAGCTTCCTTGTCCCCTTCTGCCTTCTGGCCCTTGTCACTGGACTCCTGTACCTCGTTAGTCTCATTTGGTTTTACGGGGCTGTCCACTCCCCGGCTGAACAGTGAACCTCGGAGGTAGCTTCACCACGGAGCTAAAAGGGTGTCTGGGGGCCATACTCTTGGGGTTTCTCCAGTCTCCTTTAGGCCAGTAAATCTGGTCCTTTAAAAAAAAAAAAGCAATTTTTTTACTCGACCTAGAACTCATCTCAGAGAGCCCTGGTGGCACAATGGTTAAGTGCTCAACTGATAAGTGAAAGGGTGAAAGGTTGGCTGTTCGAACCCACCCAGCTGCTCTGTGGGAGAAAGACCTGGTGATCTGCGTTCTTAAAGATTACAGCCTAGAAGACCCTCTGGGGCAGTTCTGCTCTGTCACATGGCGTCACTATGAGTCAAAATCAACTCAACAGCACCTACAACAACAACAGGACTCATCTTGGCTTTTGAGGCTATGATATAAACCTTGAAACTGTTATGGGACTTAACTGAACATAGTAGAATTCTCTGATCTTGTATTTTGAATTATTGTATTAATGCTATAATGATATATACTCTGCTCAGTTGAGAAATCAGTGATTTTTTCTTCTGAAACCAAGTTTGGCCTAATATCATAACTCCCACACTCATTATACTAATAATATTGTTTATTTTCTTCGACATGAGTGGAAGAGCAGAGTAAAGTGCTTTATTAAAGTCAGAAATCCCATAAATAAAAGCTGAAACCTGTAAGAGCCGGAACCCGACGGGACTGCCTTGTTTTTCCGGGTCTCACAAGTTTTCCACCTTTGACAGGGTGCAGTCTTACCACTTTTCTGTTGCTCTCTATTAGTGGAAAATACTTGAATTTTCCTTCTCTGACAGGTTTCCACCTTACACTGGTCCGGCTTTCACAGGTTTTACGGCATGTCTTACGTTATAGCATACCATGTTGTAGTACTTCAAAAGAGGTTTTAATCAAAATAAAAATAGAAAAAGTCTGAGACTTTTTCAGAGTCTGAGACTGAGACATAGTATGTAAGGAAAGGAAGAAGCCCAAATTTTAAAATAGGATGATGACAAGAGATTTTAAGTTTGGTGACACTTTTTTAAGAGACTCCTCTGCTGCCTTACGTTCTTAACTGGAGGCAATTTTTTTTTCAGGGAGTGGGGTTCATATTTCCTTTCTTTTCCAGATTGCAAAAGTTGAGAAGCTGAAACCTTTAGAGGTGGAGCTGCGACGCCTAGAGGACCTTTCAGAATCCATTGTTAATGATTTTGCCTACATGAAGAGACGGGAGGAGGAGATGCGTGATACCAATGGTGAGGGGAAGACGCTCTTCTTTTCATAATAAGTGAACCATAAAAGAGACAGATCCCCAGACTTTAAATTCTGGCATACCCTTTTCTCAGTTTTGTCAAAGGGATGTGTGAAAGGGAAATTGCTTGCTTCTGTGTTGTTACTGCTAAAGGTAAATGAGCCTTATTAGGTTTTCAAGGGAATAGAAGTGTCTTCTGTGATATGCAGTTGACCATATTCTCAGTTAGCGTATAGCATATCAATTTGATAATTCTAATCTTTGTAATTTTTAACACTTGATATATAAGAAAAAAATTTTTAAAATTTGAAGTTCTGTTAGGCCTCTGAACAAAGTGAAGTTACTTGTCTTTCCCCCAGCCATTGTTTAAGCAGCTGAGCCTCACTTCTTTACATTTACATTGCTTTCGGTTTTTTTAGAGTCAACGAACACTCGAGTCCTGTATTTCAGCATCTTTTCAATGTTCTGCCTCATTGGACTAGCTACCTGGCAGGTCTTCTACCTTCGTCGATTCTTCAAGGCCAAGAAGTTAATTGAGTAATGAGTCACAGTCCCCTCCCACCTTGTATCTCACTCAGCAGAACATCGCTGGAACGTGCCTGGCTTAAGGCAGCCTACCAACAACACCATCAAGGCACGTTGGAGCTTTTCTTGCCAGAACTTATCTCTTTCAGGGTGGGGGGCCATGAGGTACCACCTAGACCCAACAAGCCAATGAGGGACTTCTTTTTAACTTCGTAGAATTTGGACTGGTTTTGCAACAATAGGTGTATTATTAGGGTCACATATGAAAAAACTAGGGGTTACCTAGATAATGCCAAAGCCAGCATTTGTCCTGGGTTTCCTCGTGCGATCTGTTTGAACCATGTTTTCCGAGAATTAAAATATTTGTGCTCAACTGCTTGAACTTTTTTTCTTTCTGTGTATGTGTATTTAGTTCTGTGCAGTTTTATCATGTGTATAGGTTTGTGTGACCACCACCACAAGATATAGAACAGCTCCATCACACAGATCTCTCGTGGTACCATTTTATAGCAACGGCCACATCCCTTCTCCCTCTCTCCCAAGTCTGGCAACCACTAATCTGTTCTCCGTCTCTGTAATTTTGTCATTTCAAGAATGTTTTATAAATGGAATCATACGTATGTAACCTTTTGAGATTGGCTTTTTTCATTCAGCATAATTCCCTTGAGATCTATCCAAGTTGTTGCATGTATCAATAGTTCCTTTTTATTGCTGAATAGTACTCTAAGGTATGGATGTACCACAGGTTGTTTAACCATGCTCCCATCAAAGAACATCTGGGTTGTTTTCTTTTTTGGGCCATTATGAATAAAGCTGCTTTGAACATTCATGTGGAGTTTTTATGTGAACATAATTTTTTTTTTCCTGAGATAAATGCCCAAGAGGGCAGTTTCTGGGTTGTATGGTAAGCACATGTTAATTTTTTTTTTAAGAAACTGCCCCCTCTTTACCAGAGTGGCTATACCATTTTACATTCCCACTAGCATGTATGAGTGATCCAGTTTCTCTTCATCCTTGCCAGCATTTGGTATTACTGTTTTTTATTTTAGCCATTCTACCAAATGTGTCTATCTAATATCTCACAGTTTTCATTAGCATTTCCTGAGTGGATAATGATGTTGAACAGCTTTTCACGTGCTTATTGGCCATCTGTATATCCTCTTCAGTGAAGTGTCTGTTCATGTCTTTTGCCTATTTTCTAATTGGATTGTTTGTTCTTTTTATTTTTGAGTTTTGAGGGCTCCTTATGTATCCTAGACACAAGTCCTTTGTTGAATGTGGCTGTTTGAATTTTTAACACAACTGCCAAGGGAAAAATACTAAGTAAAACTTAACCAGGTCTTCATGCGTGGCCAGTCACTGACTTAATTTCTGTTCTTACATGCTCTGTGTAGAGAATTAGACAAAAGGTTCTATGAAATAATCACTGTGGGACTATGAGGTGACTAAGGTCAATATTAATGTTAAGTAAAAGTGTGGATACAAATGACCATATTCATAAACATGTATGAGAAATACCATCCCTTGAAATTTTTCCCATTTCTCCCAGGAATGTGGGTAGAAGCTTATTTTTTCTGTAATCTCTTTTTAACTCTGCTGACTGTTACAAGGCTTGTCGAATTGCTGTGGTAAGAATTACAGGATTTAGGGCCTTGCAACTTGCAGTTAAGCAGCATGTTGGAATTACCAGAGAACGCTGCTGTGGTGCCTTGTATAAAATACAGAGGTAGAAGAGAAGGTGAGTTATGTTAAAATCTCAGGCTGTTAATGTTAATGTTAATGTTAATGTTAATGTTCCAGATACTGTGAACGCAAAAGCCTTTTTTTTCTTCTTTCGACTCCCTGTGTAAATTCCTCCTGTGGCTTAAAATGGTTCTCATTAACTTGTACAACATTGCCATCTGCTGTTAGGAATTGAACGGTACTGCTTCTGAGAACCTGGCAGTAGAGTCCTTGCCTTGGGGCAGCAAGTGTTGAGGTTTATCTGTAGTATTGCATATACTAAATGACAGAGGATGCAGCCAAGTAGGAAAAAGAATAAACAAATTTGTGGGTTACAATCCATCCTTAGACATTTAAGGTGAAATTCTACTCTGTACCATTAGCCTAACAAGATATTCTTTCCTATTTGCTGACTGGTGCCTTTCCCCTTTTTAAGAGCAATGAAGGTTACTTAGTTGGTTGTGGTCTGTTCTAACAAAAATCAAAGAAGATAGGAGAGGAGAATATTTTATTTTGTTGATGCGTTTGTTCCCAAATGTGACTCTAAACTTGAGCTTTGTGACACTGAAATTCTCATGTCCTTTCCTTTACTCAAGCCAAAATACCAACTCGGGCATTTGTGCTTTTGGTTTAAAGTTAATTAATCTTACTACCTTGATTTTATCTAAAAAGTAAAATTGTTTTCCTTTGATAAAAGGCTAGTGCAAGAGCAAATCAGCTTTAAAGGCAGGGATGTGACTTGTTTTCCTCTATTTTTTTTTTTAGCATATTATTCAACATGGCCTGTATGATATAAATGAGAATGATACATTTTAAGTAATGTTTGTTATACTATCTTCATAAACCCTTGTCCATAAAGCCATTTTTCTATTTGTTTGATTAGAAAGAGGCATGTGGGATTTATGCAGATTCACTTGTGTTAGATTGGGGGTTTTGTGTAAATTTTCACAAATAAAGGCGAGCAGAAACCATTTCTGGTGTTCTTCTGTTACTGTTGAGTACCTCTTTGTCTGGATTGACAATAATTCCTCCATATTCCTCAGTTCTAAAGTATGGCAAATTATTCCTGATGAATTAGAGAGAAAATATGGTTATCCTTAATTCCAGATGGATAGTAAAAGTTTAGTACTTAATATACTTCCTCAGAAAGACCACCTGGGGCTCTGTAAGCCAGGCTTCTCTGTAGCTTCTCTTTTGGAAACTGCCCTTGCCCTCCTTTCCTCAAATACTCCTCTCAATTTAGATTCCCCAGGGACTTGCTTTTTTGACTCATCACATCTTTGCAAAACCCCACCCCAACAGGTAAAGCCATTTTCTTCTTTACTATTACTTGCAGTTGAACATTTTTCAAAAGCTTCTTTCCAAGAGTTGACATGAAGTACTTTGTATTATCACTGTCCAGCCTTTTATTCACCTACCTCCATTCCCCCGAAAAAGCAGGTAATAAAATTTAGTAGCACATCCATAGCCTATAAAGTAGTAATTCCCAACATTTGAATACCAATTTTTTAATATCAAAAATGTTTTATTTTTCAGATGTCTTACTTTTTAGAGAAAATAAGTAATGAATGAATTCAGTAAAACTTATAAATCAATTCTAATAGTCTCAATAGCATTCCATTTTCTTGATAAGTGGTAGTACATGCTTTATAATTTTATTTATTCAGTCTACCGTAGTGGTATCCCATATAATGTGAGCCCCATGTTTAATTTTAAATTTTCTAATGCCACATTAAAAAACTAAAACCGGTGAAAATAATTTTAATAATATATTTAACCCAGTATATCTAAAATTATTTCAACATTTAGTCAATACGAAGGTGATTAATGAGATACTTTACATTCTTTTTTTTTTCACACACAGTCTTTGAAATCTAGTGCATTTCACAGCTACAGCATGTCTCAATTCAGACTAGCCAAAACTCAAGTGTGCAATAGCTACACGTTGCTAGTGGTTACCGTATTAGACAGTGCAGGTATATACTTTGCCCAGTACTTTGGGATAATCTTTAATCTTTACAGTAACTCTGTGGCCACTGGGGATCTACTAGTCACAAATTGGGAACTTCTGCTATATAGAATCTAACAACTCAGTTGCTAAAATATAATACGGACATAGTCCATGTCTGACCACAGGCTCTTTAAAATCAGTTAAACCTTTAGAAGAAAAGTTGAGTATTTCTGGACCTATTATGAACATTCAAAGGCCAGGTATTAGTTTGTTATATCTAATATGATAGCTGAGCATTATTGCTTCCAGTCTATATTTTTTTCTAAAACAGAGCTGGACATTTAATCTGTTAAACTTATATGTAAAAATGGCATGGGGGTGGTGTCTGACCTCCTCTAACTTCACCAGGGGGAGAATCAAGATCAATAGCCCAAGGGTGATTTCTATAGGTGTATGAGGTGGAGGTCAGACATGCCTCCTCTCTTGGCCATCTTTACCAATTCTGACACCAACCATCCCTCCCACAGCACACTCTACTACTCTTCTGGGTTCGATAATTCATTGCAACGGCCACACAGAACTCAGACAATACTCGCGATTATGGGGTTTATTCGGGAAATAACAGGTTACAATTCAGGCTCAGGAACACTCGGGATACAGTGCTTCCATCAGGACAGCCTCTTTACAGCTGCACTAGCAGGCACACCTCTCTCTCTGGCCCTTGGCCTCTGCCCTCCCTGCTCAGGCAAATGTTACAAAGCTCTTTTAGACCCTGCCAATAAGTCCTCAGAGACACCCTCAGCACTCAGCTTTCTTGCTCCATGGGCCAGAAGTCCACCATGCTGTCTCTTGCCTACCATCATTTCTCTGCCACCATTTCTTGAGCTGTCTTATGGTTCCAGGAGCTTCTCAGCGCAGGGATCCCGGGTCCAAAGGATGCACTCTCTGCTCCCGGCTGTTCTTCCTTGGTGGTGGTAGGAGCCCCTCTTTCCCGCCTCTGGGGTAGCTCATTTCAAGCCCATATCTGCATCAAAACAACAAACCAAACCCGTGGCCTTCAAGTCAATTCTGACTCGTAGCGACACTACAGGGCAGAGTAGAACTGCCCCATAGGATTTCCAAGGAGCAGCCGGTAGATTTGAACTGCCACCCTTTTGGTTAGCAGCTGTAGCTCTTAATCACTGCACCACTAAGGCTCCCATATCTGCACAGTGCCACCCAATCACTTGGGTGGGAGTTACAACACCATGGCTAGAAAGGCCACACAAAAGTGATCCATCGCACCGCAGTATATAGGCATTATAGCTATCACAATGAACAATTTCAGGCTATTGTATAAAACTAGTTCCTCACTGTTAAGGTGCCAGAAAAATGACTTTCAGGCTTCAGCTGAAACCTATTCAGCTTCTCTGAATGAAAGTCAGCACTTCTGATTTTAGGTAATTATGTGTTCCATTCTTTCAACTAAAAAAAACCACACAATTTATTCGCCATCTATTCCATTTAATGTGCTGAGCTAAACTCTGTGGCATATGCCCAAATAAATAAGAGGCAGTACCTGTCCTCAGAATGCTTTCTAATTAATAGGAGGAGGTAGATGGAATGGCCCCTCTCTGGAATATCTCCCTACTTTGTCAATCTGGGACTTAACATTTTGGATATTTTTTCCTCCAGAAAGCCTTCACCAACCCAGCAAGTTTGTCTTGGAAAGGTGTCCCTCGTATATGCCCTTCTAGAATCTTGTATTTTCCTTGTAACAGCACTTACATACTGTTGTAATTGCTTGGATTTTTTGTCTGTTATATGGACTGTAAGTAAGTTCCATGAGAGTAAAACCATGCTTAATTTGTTCTCACTTGTACTCAATGTTTGTTGAATGAATGAAAATTCAAAAATAATCTGTATAATCTAGACCTTTGGGATGAAAAAACCAAGATTTAACAGAGGTTATCAGTCATTCAGTCTTGCATTTAGGTCTAAAAATTATTATATACAAACAGGATAATGTTAGTTGACACCCAGTTGGCTCCAGCTTATGGTGACCTTCTGTGTAACAGAATGAAACGCTGCCTGGTACTGCACCATCTCCATGATCTTTGCGACGTTTGAGCCCATCGTTGTGGCTACTGTGTCGATCCATATTATACAGAATAATAAAAGCCTGATATTTATTCAATAATTTTTGACCCCCTATAGTGCCAGACACTTTTTTAGGCACTGATAATATATATACCCAAACCAACCAAACCCATTGCCGTTGAGTCAATTCTGACTCATAGCGACCTTACAGGACAGAGTAGAACTGCCCCATAGGGTTTCCAAGGAGCAGCTGGTGGATTCGAACTGCTGACCTTCTGGTTAGCAGCCAAGCTCTTAACCAATGCACCACCAGGGCCCCACTGATAATATATAAAAGTGAACAAAACCAAAGTCCAGGCTCTTATGGAGGTGATATTCTTTGAATGGAGACAGTAAATGAAGTAAACCTAATAAACAAGACAGTATTTTATAGATAAGCATTGGGAAGAAAATAAGGAGTGATGTAATAGAGTGAGAGGGCTGTGGTACCTTGGATTGGACTGGATGTGAAAAAGCTAGAGTTAGGTTAAATACAAGTGCAATATAAACAGATCATCAATATGAAGGCTGGTACGTTAATATGTATGGGTCCAGATCAAGAAAGACGGAAGTCCCCTTGTACTCTCCTATTCAGACGACATGGACTGTTACCCAGAGGGTAGGGTATCATACTTTAAAAGGAACACTGATAAACTGTAGAGGCGAAAGGACGTGAACTCATCAGCCCTCACACCCTTCACCCCATTTTACCAATTTTATCTTCCTCCTGCATTTGCTATCAGGAGCTGGTGCGAATGGTTTGCTCTCGACTACTAGGTTTGAACCCACCTAGCAACAATGCAGAAGAAAGGCCTGGCAATCTGTTTCCGTAAAGATTACAGCCAAGAAAACCCCATGGAGCAGTTCTCTGTAACACATGGGGCCGCAATGAGTCAGAACCGACTCGACAGCAGCGTGTTTGGTTTTTATTCACCTAGTTAGAAAACTAGGAGTGAGTTTCCTGGACTTACATACACCTCACTAGCCATATTGCAACTGATCACAAAGTTCTAAATGTTCCTCAGATGGATTTCTTGAGTCTAGACTTCCTCTCCATTCACACTGATACTACCTCAGTTCTAGGTCTCTTTTCTTATAATATAAATTGCTTCCTAACTAGTCTCCCTGTCTCCAGTCTTTGTCCTGCACATTATCACCAAAGTTCTTCGTAAAATAAAATTTTGGTCTTATCAAAGGTGACCATATTGTTTAATGTCTGAACTCGGCACTTGAGCAGAAGAAGGCTCTATTAATTCTGGGGAAAAATACATTAACTTGCCTAGCAAATTGGGACATACAGTCACACTAGTCATATACTCCCCTGCTTAAAAATCTTCAATAATTTTCCACTGTCCACAGGCAAAGTCAAACTGTAAAATATTTGAGGCCCCTTCTTCTACCTCACATGCACCCTGGGCTCCAGCCACACAACTTTCAGCCCCAACACATCCTGATCTTGCATGGCTCTGGAGCCAATTGCTGGGTTTGATTCCCAGCTCCCCTTACTAGCTTCGAAACAATGAGCAAGTTGCTTAACCTCTGTGTATCTCAGATTCTTTTGTAAAATGGGGATAATGTGAGGATTGAATAAGATAATAAAAAAAAAAAAAAAACCTTTTAGCATAGTGCCTGGAACGTAACAGTAAACGTTAGCTGTTATCCCTGTAATGTAGGTCATATTCCCGCTTTACAGATTAAAAACCAAGTCTGGAGATGTGAGGTTACCCAAGGTCACATAACTGATGGAACATGTTTTCTCACTGTACTGCATGCAGTTCTTAGTGCCCTGAGGGCAGGGAACATCTTATGGCAGATTCCTCACCCTCATAAACAGTGTCTGGCACCTAGTGCTCAAAGAATGTTCCACAAGATCCGATGGTCAAAGATCTGGGAAACCACACAGAAGGAGAAAGTTAAATCCTGAAAAAGTGAATGGGGGGCTGCGTGTCAGGATAGATGACAAATTATTTTTGGCGTTGCATGTAAGAGGGAGGGAAGGGAGGGGGGAGGAGGTGGGGCTAGCCCTGGGGAAGCTCTGGGAGAAATGACTGGGCCCACTGACTGACACGACACGGAGGAAAATTTTGGCTTACCATAATTACTACAGGTCCTTGGGTGGTGCATACGGTTAAGCGTTCCACTACTAACCTAAAGGTTGGCGGTTCAAAGCCGCTCGCGGTGCCTGGGAAGGCAGGTACGGTGATCTTCCGAAAGGTCACAGCCTTGAAAACCCTATGGAGCAATTCTACTCTGAACACATGGGGTCGCCATGAGTATGATTTGACTTCAAGGCAACTAACAACAACATACTTACTATAATATCTTTCTAAACAAAAAAGCTGTCCAACACTAAAGAAGCTGCTTCCTCAACTGCTACTCTTGAGATAGTCCTGGCATCCAGACAAGAATGATCTCTGGACCAAGAAGCTGTATGGGAAGCCGGGAGTGGCCGGGGATCCGGGGCAGGGACCTACAGACCCCAGAGGGGAACGCCCTTGCCCCTGCCGGAGCCCTTCGGTGGCACGAAGTCCTCACTATGCGCTCGCCGGCGCAAGCCCAAGGCCTCGCTTTCCCGGACCACCACGAGAGTGGGAAGCCGTCGCCACTGGACAACCAAGAAAGCAAGCAAAGGCGGGGAGAACGCAGCCGGGCCGGAAACACCGATAACTGCTTCCGGGTCAGGGAAAAGGAGCCACCATGGAGCCTTGCGGGGTTACGGGGCTGACGGAGCCGTGGGCCAGCGTGTAAAAAGAGGGAGGCGCAGGACGGCCAGCGCCGCCGGGGACCGGCAGGTCGGTCCTGTAGGCTGGTCCCGAAGGCCCGCGGCCGCCGCCATGTCGGTGCTGGGCGAGTACGAGCGACACTGCGATTCCATCAACTCAGACTTTGGAAGCGAGTCTGGAGGTGGCGGGGACTCGGGCCCGAGCCCCAGCGCCGGTCCAGGGCCGCGAGCCAGCGGCGGCGTAGCGGAGCAGGAGGAGCTGCACTACATCCCCATCCGCGTCCTGGGCCGCGGCGCCTTCGGCGAGGCCACGCTGTATCGCCGCACTGAGGTAGCGGCCCTCGGCTCCGGCCGCCCCGCCCCGCCTCGCCTCGCCCGGCATGCCGGGCCACCCCGGGCCCCTCCTTCCCGCTTTCCAGCCCCAGCCAGCTGTTGGCTTTCCCCACGTCCTGCCCTTCGTTCTCAGTGTTAAGGCGCCCGCAGGGCGTATGTCGCAGGCTTTGTCCACTATTCTTCCTCCTTACGTACACCAGCAATTCGTTATATCACTGGTTTCTCTAACTGGTTGTTTTTGTTTATTTTTTGTTTAACTCGGGGAACTGAGCAACACTGAATCTCTATGAGCCTCAGTTTTCCATCTGAAAAATGGGGCTAGTGATAACTACCTTTAAAAATAGTAATGATCTTTATTTTTAAGGTTATTTTAAGAATCAAATGTGCTTTACAAACTAAATTAAAGTGGTATACGAATGCAAGGTATTGCCAAAACTTCCTCTCATGCTGTGTAGCTGTCCAAGTTCGGGGTGGGGGTGGGGAGGGCATAGCTTCAGTATCCCCACACCAGTATCTCCACTATCTTTGCCATTATCTTTAAGTTCAGATGTGAACACTTAATTGGAGTTGTTCTTGAAGATCGTCGTGTGTTCGTTTCTTCATCAGCATTTATCCAGCGGTATTCATGCCTGGGAGCAGTGGTTAAGCACTCTGCTGCTAAACAAAAGGTCAGCGGTTGGAATCCACCACCCGGGTTCCAATCCACCAGCCGCTCTGCGAAAAAGATGTGGCAGTCTGCTTCCTAAAGGTTTACTGCCTTGGAAACCATATGGGGCAGTTCTTACTCTGTCCTATAGCGTCACTCTGAGTCGGAATCAACTCGAGGCAGTGGGTTTTTGTTTTTTTTTTTTTTGGTTTATTCATGCATGGGAAATACTTTATTGGTATTACAAGCCATTCATTGGGGGACAAAGACACCTTTGAAAATCTAATGGAAGCGAAGTAAACTCCCACCCCCACCTCCAAAAAAATCCACATTTGCGGATGTATACATTCTTTGAAGAGATCCATGGACCACTGAGCCCCAAGTTAAGGATGTTTACTGATCTAAAACCCTGCAGTGGTGCCTCTGCTTCTAAAAACTAACCACAAACTGGGTTTGATCGCTAAGGTCTTAAAATTCTACCTTTAGAACAGTCCAACATTTAATGAGAATCTGCTGTGGTTGCTAAAGATTTATTCTAGGCGATTCATCTGTTAGTGATGCATCTGCAAGTTGTGGTGTATGTTCCAAGCCAGCACGTTAAAGGCTGAAAGATTGAGGAGAGAGGTAGTTGCAAGAGAATATTTTTTTTAAGTGTACTTTTTGATTCTAAGTGCCACATTAATGTATGGTATTAGAGTCACTGTTAGTGTTGTTTTCTTATTTGCACTCAAAATATGAGAAAGGAGCTAAGCCTTGGTATTTCTAGTTTATAGTTAGAGAAACTAAGACAGTGTATTTAAGTATCTTGTTCAAGAAGTAAGCCTTGGACTAGAACTGGGTCTCTCATCTTCTTGCTCATGTCTTTCCATTTTTATCATGTCAGACTTGATTACTGGGGTTGTTTTAAATTTGATTACGCTTCCCAAAAATGTTATAGCATTATCTACATCACCAAATAGTTATTGATTTGTGAATTTACAGTGGTTTAATTAGAAACAGCCCTTTTCCTCAAGAAACTTATATTTCAGTGAGAAGACAAGTTAGCATGTTAGTGAACAAAGGGAGTCTAAGTTGTATATGTATATAAATTTAACAGAGTGAACAAGTATTTCAGTGTATGAGCTCTGAAAATGAAAGGAATGGTTGCATTAAATCAATGTAGAGATGTAGAGTAAAAAGTTCAGAGGGTCCTTGCTTTGTGCTTCCTAGTGAGGTTTTAAAGACTTGGCAGAGCCATTCTTAGGATAGAGAGGGTTTTTTAGCTGGGGATCTTCTGGGTTGGGAAGTAGTGCCAGTAAAGAATTAGAGTTATCGTAAAAGGGAGTGGACATTGGACATAAGTTTTCGTGAATAGAGAAAAGCATATGATACATAAAAGTGTGATAGGAGTTACAGAATGGGGCAAGGCAAGGGACATGAATTCAAAGCCATTAGACATGACTGGAGGGCAGTGGTGGTTCAGTGGTAGAATGCTTGTCTTCCATGCAGGAGACCCAGGTTCATTGCTGTGATGCTGAACCATTTTCAAAGGAACTTGTAGACTAAGGCTAGGAAGAAAGATCTAGATCAGCTAATGAAAACCCTGTGAATCACAAAGGCCTGATCCTGTTGTGTATGGGGTCACTGTGAGTCGGGGATCAATTTCATGGCAGCTAGCAACAACAGACCTGACTTATCTAGAAAGAGTAAATGAAAATCACTAGAGAAGTCAAAATTTATAAAATTAGAGGTAAATCCAGTATTTTCTTTTTACAAGAAGTCATGATCAGGTATAGATAGCTGCTCTCCAGTTCTGTATTTCTCCAGTATTCCAGCCCTGCCACAATCCCCATCATGATTAGCAGCAGCCTGTCATAGTGCCCCTCAGTAGAATCTTTGAGATGTATCCCCGTCCCATGTTTTTACCTGGAAGTGACATCATGCAAATTAAGTGGGGCAGCAAAGTAACAGTGTCTTCCTGCAATGAATTATGATGCTCAGTTGTATGCAGAGCTTTTAACTGAAGTCTGTTCATGTTTCTTTTAAAGGAAAAAATAAAAGAAGCCAGTCCCTGCCCATCTAGGAGGTTTTCTCTCTAGGCTTATCAGCCGGTGTGGATTCATTCATTGCCAGGCGAGAGGAAAGCACTATACCTCTGTTACTGTATTGTAGGATGACTCACTGGTTGTGTGGAAGGAAGTGGATTTGACCCGACTGTCTGAGAAGGAACGTCGTGATGCCTTGAATGAGATTGTTATTCTGGCACTGCTGCAGCATGACAACATTATTGCCTACTACAATCACTTCATGGACAATACTACTCTGCTGATTGAGCTGGAGTATTGTAATGGTAAGGTAGAATTCAGGGGAATTTCCTCCAGCATGGCATTCTTATGCTCATACTTAACCTTGATGGGGAGAAAAAGGAAAAGGCATATACAGTGATGTAAACTTTAAATGAGTTTCTAGAGTTTAAGACAAGTAGTTCAAGCCCTGGAGAGTTTTGAGGTGATGTACAAAATAAGGGGACGGATTTTCCTCTGCATACGCAAGTTCTCCCTTGTGATTATAGTTCCATGGTCAGTTGGACTTTATGTTCATTTTTAAAGTTTTTGTTTTTCACGAAATGACATTAGTCAGGCATTATAGACAGTGTGGCCTGGCTCTGTTGATACAATATCTGTGAAATCTTACAGGTGATACTTATTTATGTTGACTTTAGCTGAAGCTGTTCTTTTAAAAAATGGTCAGAAAATCATAGCTAAATGAAAATGATACATAGTAAAGCCTGGTCTTGTTTATCTGGTGTCTGATTTCTTTGGACCTGTGTCGCTTAGAAGACAGCAGTATTGCCTAGTTGTTAAGAGGATAGATTCTGAACCCATATCCTAAGCTCTATAACCTTGGGCAAGAAACTTAACTTCTCTGTGCCTCAGTTGCCTCATATTAGCAGGAATTTGTTAATAATAGTACCTGCCTCCTAGGGTTGTATTAAGTGAATTAATATGTGGAAAGCCCCTTAGCACAGTATTTGGCATGTAACAAATGATTGGTACATACTGAACTGTTACCCTTATTGTGCAAGAGAACCTCCAAAGCCCTTTCCTGAGGTGCATGCTAAAGAGATCCCAGCATACTACTTCTCTTAAATCTCTAGGAGAAACCTCCTCGAGCTTTCTTGTCTAGACTCTTGTGTGTCATGATTATTTCTGATTCTGATCAACCCTAAGTATATGACATTGTATTAGAGGTTTTTGAAGTAGCAGAAGCCTCAAGTAGTTAACTTCCTTTGTGGTTAGGAGGAACTAGAACAAATGATACATTTATTGAAACTTTTAAGTTTCTAAATTGCAGGGGAAGAGAAGTTGTAAAACTTAGCCAGGACTAAAGTGTAATTTATAGGTACAGGTAGGAAGTAAGATAAAGCATGATAATTTGCAGTCTGTATTACTTGATAAAGGGAAGAGAGAAGCAAATGCACACTTATTCAGCAGGAAGGAATTAGTAAAGGGAGTAATGATGGAAACAGTCTAGGGGTAGACTAAATTTTGGGAAACGTTTTCAGTGAGAAGTAAAAAGAAAAAGAGATCAGTGATATGCACCCTGTATATACAAAGCATTGCATCACAGGTGTAACCCAAATGTTCTAGCAGTCACACTGGGAGAGTTGTTACAGAAATATTGCCAGTTCCTTAAAAGGGAGTTCTAGAAGAGAAAATCATCTCATTTCAAAGACTTTCAAGGTAAATTTCACTAATTGACTATTACAGGAATGCTTTTTACTCTCATCTCTTCTAAAAATGCCACACCTCCCAATTTTGTATTTAGCTTCTTCTATTAGGGAGGAGAGTCTTTGAAGGATATTTCTGGTACAGACCTGGAGAGATGGGAAGAGTTTTGTGCCCATGTGAAGAGCCAAGAGGGAAGAAGAGGTTTCCTTTGGAGATGAAGCAGAATCCCCCATTTTCTTGTGTCATCTGTTAAAACACCATTAGATAAAGGATCCAAGCTTTTTGGTTGCTATTAAGCAATTGAAACCTGTCTATAAATAATCTGTCTTGTTTAATTACAGGCGGGAACCTGTATGACAAAATCCTTCGTCAAAAGGACAAGCTGTTTGAGGAAGAGGTAATTCATATTTCTGTGGAGGGAATTTAGAGTTATATAATGTGATTCTTGCATTCTAGTTCTATATTTACTCTTCCAACAATGAAGAGTGTTTTTTTCCTTTTGTTCAGACTCCTTCCAGGCTCTGATTGATATTCATGAAAAAGGAAACCTCTAACAAGGAAGCTGTCTATAGCTGCTTCCTAAACGTTTTACTTCCACATCATGATTCTCTATGGGCTTTTTTCCTGGTTCTGTTACTGCATACTGGTATGCCCAGCTTTCTATACCTTTGCATTCTTCCTGGGTTTCTTTCCACAAATCTGCTTCACCATACTATATTTTATAATGATATTGAAACTATTATATGATGATCTGCTTTTTCTTACTCCTACCACTTTTCTTTACCTACTCAACCTACAAGCAAGAGATGTCAAGTCATATTGAATCATAACCATTGGTTGCAGTTTCCTTTGTTTTGTTTAGTATGTATGTATGTGTGTGTGTTTGTGTAAATGGCGTTTTTTTGTTTCCAATCCCAAATATAATTTATTTTCTTTCTGCAGATGGTGGTATGGTACCTATTTCAGATTGTTTCAGCAGTGAGCTGTATTCATAAAGCTGGCATCCTTCACAGGTAATGAGTGAAGGAAAATTTATGGAGTCAGTTCCTCCCCACCAGTCCAATCCCTACCCTGGCACTTCTCCTTTCTTGATTAAGCAGTGAAGGTTTTTCTTTTTGTATAATTTAGAAAGGGAAGAGTGAGTAGTGAGGTGTGTTATCTTCACTTCCTGAGGTTAAACCATGTTTGTGATCTAGGAAGAATCTCCTCAATAGCTAAGTACATCTCAGTCATTTCTTTTAGAAATATTTTAAAGTTCAATTCATTAATCAACAAAGCGTAGAAGTCACTACTAGAAGTAGGATTCGATTGGTTAGAAATCACAGTAAATGTTTTTTCTGAGCAATAATTGACTATCTTTTATAGTTACATTCTTTTAAATAAAAAGCGTATTTATTTTGCACAATAATTGTACAATTTTACCAGATCTTTATTAAAAAAAAAAACAAACTCATTTGTAGTCATAGGAGAGGCCATCATAAGAGCATTCCCACATTGTGATACCCTTCTTAAGTGAGTCATTGGTTATTGCTAGGGAGTAATTATAATACACTAGTGTTTCTTTTTTTATTTGTGCGTTTGGTTAGCATATATATATGGATAGCTGTTGAATGGCTACTGATACATATTATTGTTTTCTTTTCAAAAGTAACTTTTTCACATCTTTCAATAAAGGAAGCCAGAGTGTGAACTAGGCACAGTTTATTTTATGTTATATATGGTCAATTAATCTTTAGAAAAGAAGCTAGTGACTTTATTTAGATGATCTAAACAGCCTAGTGATGTTGCTGCTGGGACTGCATCCTCTTCTCTTGCCTTAACAGATTATTTGAAACTTTGACAAGCAACCAAGTGTTAAAATTGCCTTGATAGTGATTCATCCAATGCATAAGTGGTAGTTGAAGAGGCAGTGTACCTCAGAGGAGTTACGGTTACCTAGAACACCATTTTCCTTTTATGACCCTCTCAACTTTTCCTAATGGCTTTAGTGGTATGGGAGACATTCCTGTGATGTGAAGCCCTAGAGAAGTTAATTCTCTGCCTCCCTTCTCCTAAGTCCCTTTTTCAATGTTCAAGTATGTGTGAAAGTGATGACCACTGGATGGGGCGCTTGGAATCCCATAAGAGAATCTAAGCAATGGTGACACACTCATTTTTATTCTGTAATAATCCTGCATGGTGTTTGGGATTAGATAAACAATTGACTATATGGGGCTTATATGTTGTACCTCTTTTTCAGAGATATAAAGACATTAAATATTTTTCTGACCAAGGCAAACCTGATAAAACTTGGAGATTATGGCCTAGCAAAGAAACTTAATTCTGAGTATTCCATGGCTGAGACAGTGAGTATATTTTGCCCTGTCTTAATTATTTTTTCCCTTTCCCTTTTCAGCACTGTGGAATATAACTGTTTCCCCTAAATCTTGCAAATTTTTCTCAATTTTCTTGTTGTCCATACTTATAAAACAAGTCTTCAGAAGTCTTTTTCTGGGCTTGCTAGCAGGCATTTACATGCTCATCTGTTCTTTTGTGAGTCATTGTCCACATTACAACTCTGCCATCATAGGTCTTTCCTAGATGACTAGAGACTTTTATAAAAGCAACAGAATGCCCTTCTGTTTTTTCCAGCCTAGGAACTTGAGTACATCTCATTTTATCTCTTACTTACAGTTTGAGCTTAGGATGTTGGGCATCTCTTGCTGTGTTTTCTTTGCATGTTTCTGGTTCAGAGAGTAAGTCCTGTATTACAAATAAAGACTAATGCCCAGAGGACAGTCTGTTCTTTGATATCATATACAGTCTGAACTGCAGGGTTCCCTTCTTACCTGATCTTGAGACAGACTATTGATAAAGAGTAGGTATAAGTTGATCTCTAGGACAGTGATCTCATCTTTTTAGGAATTATAAAACCCAATTATTACTCTTTTAGCTTCACACTGCTGTATCTGTAAAAGAACTGGAAGATGCACGTTAATAAAATTAATCTGTCCTGATAATGTGTTTTGATAATGTTAGGATATGCCTGTAAGTAATTTAGAGACTCTAAGGATGTTAACAAACCAGGGTTGGGAGTCTCTGCTTCAGGGACTCAGTCTGTTTGGATAATGGTGGCCAAATTGAGCCTCTAAGGAAGCAGTCATGTCCCTATATGGGTTTTTCTCATCAAGAACAATCTGATAAAAAGCAAGGCTTGACTGTTATTATAGCCAGTTGAATGCAAGGAAGGAATGATACAAAAATTTTAAAATGCCATGTAAGCCATTTGAAAATTTCTTCACTGATTAAAGATGGCTATCAGTTTTATTAGAACTGCCAGGGCGTTCAGTGTCTCTCATCTTGGGAGAAGCATGACTTTCATTCAGGACATTTATTTCCAAACCTATTTCTGAAGTCAGATAATGTTTTTCAAATTTGAAAGAAATTCACTAGCTATGTTAGTGTAATGTCAAATCGAGCCATTTAAAAAATTTTATTACTGTGTGCATTTTAGTTAGAAATTTTAATTCCATCATTCAATTGCCATTCCCCACTGCTGCTGTTCTGTTTTTTTTCCCCTTGGAGAACTTTTACTAAGTACAGTAAAACCTGCGGAAGCTGGAACCTGTGTGATGCGGAAACCTGTCAGAGAAGGAAAATTAATATATTTTCCACTAATTAGAGAGTAGTAGAAAAGTGGTGACTGCACCTGGTCAAAAGCAGAAAACTTTTGAGACCTGGAAAAACATGGCAGTCTAGTTGAGTTCCATCTCTCACAGGTTTCACTGTTTATCTGAATATGTGTATGATGTCTTCAGTGGGCCTTGAATGCCTAAAGCCCCTTTGATCTCGGAATCACAGAGATACTGAGTCTCTCAAATTACCACAGTGCCTTAACCACAGAGATTGTCCCTTTAAAATTGGCCCAAGAGATTTGGTATGAATAAGATTTCTCCCTACAGTGGTATCATCTAGTAAAAATCATTTTGGGATTCTGCTGATGAGTGGTTTATGGTTGTTACCACTGTTTCCTGAGAAATTTAGCTGTTGAAATGTTAATATAGTTACCTCAGAAAAGAAATTATTCTTTGATTGTTTCTTTGTTGTTCAGCTTGTAGGAACTCCATATTATATGTCTCCAGAGCTCTGCCAAGGAGTAAAATATAATTTCAAATCTGATATCTGGGCAGTAGGCTGCGTCATTTTTGAACTGCTTACGTTAAAGAGGACATTTGATGCTACAGTAAGTTGGTGTATTGTCTTTGCAAAAGAAAATCAACTTCCTTTATCCCTGAGCTTCTGATTTCTTTAACAGTAACTATAGGCAAAAATAACCTGTATTCAGGCACTGGATTTGTAGTGTATTATTGAACTGCTATAGACCAGACTTTCTCTGACTTAAATACCCCATTAAAATGATCATAATCAAATAGTTTGAGCACTGTGCTTGAATTTGTTGACTGTGGTTTTAAAACTGGCTCTAGGGTCAACTATGTGATGCTGTAGTTTGGATAAGCCATTTCATTTCTTATGCTTGAGCTACATCATTTTTTTTTTTTTAAGCCTAGGCAAATAATATAAGACTCATTTAAGTGTTTTGATCTTTTTTATGAAGAATTATATACTCTCTTATTCAAGATTGTCATTTTATGGACAACAAATCCTTGTAAGTCTTTGTTCTTTTTTTTAAGCGAAGTAAAAACCTCGTGTAAAGCCATGCTTCTCAGACTTTAATGTGGATACAGTATCACCTGGGATCTTGTTAAAGGTGAAGATTCTGTTTCAGTAGGTTTGGGGTCGGGTCTGGTATCCTGCATTTCTAACAAGCTCCCAAGTGATGCTGATGCTGCTGGTCTATGAACCACACTTTAAGTAACAAAAGTGGATTCACATCCAATCTTCTCTACAAACCAGGTATGAGAGCTTAGGCAAGTCACTTCATCTCTTTGATCTCTGTTTTGTTACCTATAAAATGGGAATAATATATATCCTCCTCACAGAGACGCTCTCAAAAAAAAATTTTTTTTTTTTTTATTGTACTTTAGGTGAAGGTTTACAGAACAAACAGTTTCTCATGAAACAGTAGTACACATATTGTTTTATGACATTGGTTAACAACCCCACGACATGTCAGCCCTCTCCCTTCTCAACCTTTTTTTTTTTTTGGGAAAATATACATAGCTAAAGATACACCGTTTCAAAAATTTCTACATGCACAGTTCAGTGACATCGACTACGCTCTTCCAATTGTGCTGCTATTCTCACTTT